AATGGCTTGATAATGGTCATAAAAGACCATCTCTGTGATAGAGTGACAGGTGAAGAGCCAGTACTGATCATGGAACACAGCCAATAACACTTGACAGTGCTTCTTAACGGGTGGGTTACGACACAAAAATAGGTCACAGGACTGTTTTGTCTGTGGACAGCAAGGAATACACACACGAAAACCTCGCAAAACATTTGCGTTTCCCTGAAAAACTCAATGAATGCAAACATTTTGGAACGCAAAAGCATTTTTCCTCCCATCTCATATTTTGTTCCCCAATCATCTTGTACCTTTAACAGTTGTGCCGCTTAATATTTTTATGTTAACATTGATAAATTATTTTTCTTCAAATCCTGTTAAAAAAGAACATTATAAAAGTCTTTTGAACAGTACTTTATCTCACACACATTTTAATACCTTCAATGTTTCACATTATAGCAATCTTCCGCGGCCAATCTGAACGGTCATTGTAGTGCTTACCCATTCATGTCTTTCTCTTTTCTTCCATGTTCAGATGAGATAAGTGCAAATTGCTCCGTTTGGCCAGAATCTGCCATTCCATTACCCCTTCAGCCCCTCTGGGAATGGGCATATCCATGCTCCCTATGACCCCTGACCTTTCTCCATCAGGACATGGGGGTGAAACACGGGGTCTCTTTATGGTCACCCTGACTCTGGAGTCCACAGGGATGTCACCCTGAGATGTTCTTCTACTGATGTTTTCATGGCTTTTCTCTGGAGACCTGCAACAAATCGTGGTAAACGAACGGTATATTCATTTTTTAATGACAACAGCTGGAATGTGGAAATGTTCATTCTCTATTTTTAACAGGCTATTTTTCTTGCCTATATTCACAAATTCACATTGCATAAACTTAAGTTGAAAGCGTGATAAACCTTATATGGACTTGTTTGTAAAATAGCAGAGGATGCTTTGCATGACCCTTCACTAATCTTGAGATGCTGATAAACTCATTCAGTGATGATGAAATAGCTGGAAATTCAACACAGTCTGATTTATTGTCAGGCCAGCAGTAGATCAAACTAACATTTTTGTGTTTCCTCATTGGTAAATGAGGCTGGTGGTCAGAGAGCTCAAGCCAAAAAGCCACTGATTTACCGACGGCTCATCGTCTTTGTTTGGGTAAACGCTTGAGCAGATCATCTGGTTAGGTTCACATCATTCTCACTGTAAGATGGCAAACAGAAGTAAGCCCATTTCCTGAAAATCAATACCAACATAGCAAACTGAAAAGGCAAAAAATGAATAACATTAAGACATGGCTCAGTAACTTAGGGACTACACAACATTTGCCATGTGAAATGCTTAAGGGCAAGAAACAAAGGAAAATAACATAAGATAATTCACAAACAGTAAGAATTGCTTTCCAATTGTGCAAAACTCGAGACATGGAGCATTAGGGAGAATGTCAGTCAAAATTTCACTTTTGCAAGTGTCAAATGTTTCTTCTTTGCTATATGTCGCTCTGTTTTATACAGATCTAACAGAAAGTAAATACTTGACTAAATAAATGAATGTTCTTAAAGGGATACTCCACCCAAAAATGAAAACTCTTCTCATTTACTCACCTTCAAGTTGTAGCAAACCAGTATGAGTTTCTTTCTTCTGCTGAACACAAAGGAAGATATTTTGAAGAACGATTGGAACCAAACAGTTGTTTGGCACCATTGACTTCCATTGTGGAAAAAAAAAAATACTATGGAAGTCGATGGTGCCAAAGTTCCAATCGTTCTTCAAAATATCTTCCTTTGTGTTCAGCAGAAGAAACTCATACAGGTTTGCAACAACTTGAGGGTGAGTAAATGATGACAAATTTTTCATTGTTGGGTGGAGGAGTATCGTCATTTATCCCCCCAAAAAAGTTTCTGTCTCACAAACATTTATGGATTTATTGCATTCAAGTAATACAGTTCACTCAAAAAATGTCAAAAGTTTTCCTCACTTCGATCTTAATGCGTGTCTCCTCTGTGAACTCTCCACAGCTATAAGGTTATATTCCATCACTATTACTCACCTGTTCTGGTGCAGATCATTTTACTTTCACAAATATACAGTGGCCCCAAAAAGTATGTGGACACTTAATCCATAGTTACAATAAATATATTGTTCAAATATGACTTCATACATCCATGGAAATGACCTTTAAAAAAAATGAAAATTGTCTCAGAAAAGTTAGTTCTGTGGAAAAACTCTAGCATCATTTCTTTGTCGATGTCTCTTTGTTTGGTATTTTATATCTAATCCAATGAAAGTCAAAAATGTGTGGGGCTTAAGTGTCCATTTTTGGGGCCACTGTATATTTGTGAAAGTAAAATGATCTGCACCAGTACAGGTGAGTAATAGTGATGGAATATAACCTTATAGCTGTGGAGAGTTCACAGAGGAGACACGCATTAAGATCGAAGTGAGGAAAACTTTTTCAATCCAAACTCTTCAAACCCTATGAATACGATACAAGCAAATTCTCCTACTGATCTACAACATCTCAGCCTACTAGAGAGACCCTAAATTCTGGATTCATTTTCCATCCTAATGAAAGCTTTCCTATACTAACATCTAACAGATGAAAGTCCACCTTTTTCATATTTCTCTCTGATTGCAGTAATGGCCATATTTATGAGTGTCCATTCCAACTGAATCACAGAGCTCAGGCCAGGCGGAGCTGGAAGCGTGATGGAAATTAATCTAGTAATCTTAAAATCCTTTCCTCATTTTTCAAAAACTACCCCAATTCATCACTAAAATCAATGACTCGTGTCAGGTCGTTAGGTAAGGCATGATTAGACTGGAAAAATCAAGGCCAAAAACGTCTCGGACGTCAAAGGAACTCCTGGAACGAGAGCTCGTAAATGCACAGAGGAAACAGCTATTGTTAATACGACATGTTGTAATAGCAACACGTGTAATGCAATGTTACCTTTGGGACTTTCCTTAGCTACCGTTCAGTTAGTGTAATTATAAATGGCGTGTTATTCTACTAATATCTCTAACATATGCGCTGTAAAGAGGGAACTGAGCACAATGGATCAAAGTCCTCATCAATAGAGGCCCACGGCCGGATCCAGAAGCCCCCTCGGTGCTTACCAGCATCCAGGCCTCTCGCCCACCTTCCCATCCCTGATTAAAACAGAGATGGGGCCCCTGAATTTAGCACATGTGGGCGATTACAAGGAAAACCTTCAGCAGCGCAATTACCGGCAACCAACTGAAAGAAATATCATCACAACCTTTGTCAAATTAACTTAGATAATTAATGTGGTTTAGATAACATATTTTGAGTTTGTATTTAAACCAATTTTCAAAGAACTCGAAATTTTAAAGCAACCAAGTAACTTACTTTAAGTTGAACCAACAAGATGTTTTATGAAACATTGTCGTTAACTGAAATAAGCATCAAAACATAAAATACAATGGATTAAGCTAAAATACATTTTCATGACTTTGCATTGAGCTATAAAAACAAACAAAACAACAACCACAACGTTTTAGATAATATCTAAAGCAACTCTAACAAAAGTATAAGACAAAATGGACAAAATTAAACAGGAAAATGCCACTAGACAGTGATGACAGCAGACGACCCCGGGAAATGTAATAATATTAAAAATGTATTTTGTATTTTTTTAGCAGTCAGAGACAAAGTATTTGTATTTTTCAAAAAAAAGGACTTTACTAAAGCCTAGTTCACACTACATGATTTTAAAACGTCGGGCTGAACTGTGCAGTTCACATTACATGACTTGCTCTCTGTGAAATCAGGAGAGTTCAAGTTGTTGAGCTGTTCACAGCACACGACACAACGTGATTGATCCGCAACAGGAGGTAACGCACTACACGAGTTGACAACAACTCTGTCACCCAACGATTTTATCTTGTCTACAAACCACGGTTTGTCACGAAAAATCACGCGATAAAACGAACCGGAAATGACGCCAATACCTAGCGAAGAAGAGAAGGACACAACACGTGAATATGGACGTCAGACAGAAACTAGTGCTGCAAACTGTTTGCGCGATGATTTGCTCTGAGAAAAAAATGCAAAAAAAGAAAAAATAAGATTTGCCCGGTGACCTCAACAACCCATGCCTTGCTCAAATTGGCTGTAGCTCATGACATCACGTGAGGTTGAGTCGTGCGACAGCTCTGGATATCTAGCATGCTAGATATTTTTCTGGGCTCGGCGAAGCGTCTTTGATGCGTTGTTGGCTCTTTACTAACAGATTGGCAAGCGTTCATCGTCCGCTAATCCCTTCCGATTCGCACGCAATAACACCCTGACCTGTCGGCGAGCTCAACAATTTGCAAATCTGGCTTAAAATCCTGTAGTGTGAACTTGGCTTAAGAAAGTGCAATGCTTTTTTGACTCTGCAGATTGAAAAAATGTGATGTGTTGGAGCTATTCAATTGCTTTTTTTGTGATCCATTACATTTAAAAAAAACACATTTTCCTATAGCTGGCATGTCTACTGCAG